AAAAAAAAAAAAAAAAAAAAAGCATTTGTTGTGGTCCAGCGCCCATAGCACAGTGGTTATGGGACCAGCCACATACACCAAGGGAGCTAGCTGGGTTTGAACCTGGCCCAGGCCAGCTAAAAAACAATGATGACTGCAACCAAAAATAGCCTGGCATTGTGGAGGCGGCTATAGTCCCAGCTACTTGGGAGGCTGAAGCCAAAGAATTGCTTAAGCTCAAGAGTTTGAGGTTGCTGTGAGCTGTGATATCACTGCACTCTACCAAGGGCGACATAGTGAGGCTCTGTCTCAAAAAAAAAAACAAACAAACAAACAAAAAAAACCATTGGTTGTGTAAAATTTGGATTTAATCAAAAGGCTGTACTCAAGAATCCAGAAGGCCATATGTGGCTCCAACAAAGAAAAGTTAAAAATTTTTTTTATCTTTAAATTTTGAACTGTGTCACAGAACTGTGTCCAGAACTGTGTTCTCTTTCTGTATCTCCAGAAAGAGAAAAGAAAGTAACTTTCTGCACCAGGCACTGCTGTTGCCAGGGCTAGAGTGAAGTGGCATCATCATAGCTCATATTTCTGGGCTCAGGCAATCCTCCTGCTTTAGCCTCCCTTGTAGCTGGGACTACACAGGCATGTGCCACCACACCTGGCTAATTTCTCTATTTTTTGTAGAAACGGGGGTGGAGGTTGGGGGTTGCTATGTTGCCCAGGCTGATCTCCAACTCCTGGTCTCAAGCAATCCTCCAGCCTCTGCCTGCCAAACTCCTGGTCTCAAGTAATAGTCCTGCCTCTGCCTCCCAAAGTGCTGGGATTATAGGCATGAACCACAGCACCAGGCTTTATTTTTTGAGCAGCTAAAAAAGCAATAACTATGGGTAGATTGGAACATTCTGGTTCAAAATAAATTAATATTAAAGGATCAGACACCTTGTAGGTTGTTAATATTCTTTCTAGTTCCATAGATCTTCTTTACCTTGTTCTTTGGGCTTTATTTGACATCTTCTGAGTCAAAATTCAAGGCCTTGGTGGTTATATTACTACTAATAATTACTACTATAATACTACTAATCATTAGAGATCAATTTTAGGTGATTGCATTTTTTGTAATGTAAATATTGTGTTTTTTCTTTAAGAAAGGGTAATCCTGAAAAAGCGGTAGCCACATAGCAGCTTTTGTTCCAGTATATTCACTTTATTTCTTTAATTTGCTTTATATTGTAACAGCTGTTATCTAAGAGTAAAGATTTCATGAACTTTGAAGTATCTGTTTTTTTTTTTTTTTTTTGAGACAGTCTCAAGCTGTCGCCTTGGATAGAATGCCATGGCATCAGAGCTCACAGAAACCTCAAGGTCTTGGGCTTAAGCGATTCTCTTGCTTCAGCCTCCCAAGTAGCTGGGACCACAGGCTTCCCGCCACAACACCCGGCTATTTTTTTTTTTTTTTTTGGTTGTAGTTGTCGTTGTTTGGCAAGCCCAGGTGGATTCGAACCCGCCAGCTCTGTTGTATGTGGCTGGCACCTTAGCCGCTTGAGCTACAGGCACTGAGCTGAAGTATCTCTTTAAAATGGTATATTTTCAGGCATATGCATTGATCCATCTTTTCACAGTGATCATTTTTATATTTCATCCAAATGACATTGGGGAGTAAACCAGTCATTCCACTTTGTGCTCACAATATTTTAATGCAGGTTATGAATGGATTCAAAATTTAATTTGCATCACAGATTCTTTGCTTATTTTTGAGACAGAGTCTCACTCTGTCACCTTGGGTAGAGTGCGATGGCCATCATAGCTCACAGCAACTTCAATTTCTTGAACTCAGGTGATCTTGCCTCAGCCTCCCAAGTAGCTGGGACTATAGGCATCCACTACAGCACCTGGCTAGTTTTTCTATTTTTAGTAGAGATAAGAGTCTCACTTTTGCTCAGGCTGATCTCAAATTCCTGAGCTCAAGTAATCTGCTCCCCTTGGCCTTCCTGAGTTTTAGGATTACAGATGTGAGTCACTGCACCCAGCCTTGTTACAGATATTTATTAAAGATTGTTGGTTGGCACTTAATACATTCTTGGTATGTCTGGAAATTCAGAGTATTAAAATGTGTTATTACCCTTGGTAGACTTCTGCTTCCTAAAATATTAAGTATGCGATCCATATGAATACAAATACTGGTGATTCAAGATGATTCTTTCACCAGAATGCCAAGTGAAAATTAGTAAGGTATAAACTGTGAAAGTGTTAAGTAGGTGCACTTCAGGAGTGTTTTGCATAGTTGGGCACCTGCTGAGGATGGAAGGGTTGCAGGGGTATAATTAACCAGCAGAAAGCTATAGGCCCTCTGAGTGACTCCTTTCTGTCCGATCAGTGCAGGTCTTGCATTTGTCAGTCACGTTGTTCATGGCATGGGGATTGTGTACTGCTTACAGGAGAGATGACATGGTGAGCCTTACAGCCAGTATGATTTTGAGGTGAGGTTTAGGGGTTGAGCATACGGTACAAAGGCTAAAAGAGAAAAAGGAAGATAAAAAGGAGTACTTGAGCACTACAAACTGAGTTTGTTTCTGAGTTCAGATGATTCTCATACTGGAATTATGATTGTAATTGTTTTTGATTTCCTGGTGCTTAATTGTTTCAAGAGTGTATGTGTCATTTTTTTAAAAACACTTGGGGAAGTTTTCTTTAATTGAACACTTGTCACCCCCCACCATGTCTTTAGTATAGATACCACCAAATTATTGTACCACCATTTAATACATAGAATTGATTATAAAAATGGCCAACATCAGTGGATTTGATGTCTATGGATAAAGCTTAAAATGTGGGCAGTGCCTGTGGCTCAGTGAGTAGGGTGCCAGCCCCATATACCCAGGTGGTGGGCTCAAACCTGGCTCTGGCCAAACTGCAACAAAAAATAGCCGGGTGTTGTGGTGGGCACCTGTAGTCCCAAGTACTCAGGAGGCTGAGGCAAGAGAATCACCTAAGAGCTGGAGGTTGCTATGAGCTGTGATGCCACGGTACTCTACTGAGGGTGATAAAGTGAGACTCTGTCTCTAAAAAAAAATAAATAAATAAAATAGTTCCCTAATGAAGTTTATCTGCATTCATCGTGATTTTGGTAAAGACAATTTAAATTAGCCCAATTCCTCTCAATATAAAATCACAGTAATGTTTAAGGTACCTATTTTTCTTGATAACAAGACTGAAAGCTGTCCATCAGTTTTCTAGTTTGCCTTTCATACCATGGAATTCCTTGGAAACCTGTTTTATGAGTTCTAAATTGTGCATATTCTTGTCTTCTAGGACTTTGTTCTGATCAAGCAGACAGTTCAGGACACAAGAGTCCAAGGATGAATGTTCCTCGTGACAGTGACAGGTTATTGCGGCAGGAGGCCAGCTGTCTAGTGGATGATACTTCAGCTGCAGCCCAAGAAAAGGAAACAAATGGCCTGGCTTCATCTGGTCTTCATAATCTTACTTATCCCCTAAGTCCTAGGAATGAAGGTACAATGATTAGTTCTTGACTTAATTTAGGGATCTTTCTGACACTTCAGCATCTACTCTGCCCAGAAGGCATGGATGTTCTTTTTTTTTCTTTTACTGAGACAAGAGTCTTATTGTGTCACCCTCAGTAGAGTGCTGTGGCATCACAGCTCACAGCAACCTCAAACTCTTGGGCTCAAGTGATTCTCTTGCCTCAGCCTCCCA